CGGAGCCCCGCCCACACGCCTGCCGCCACGCCCCATCAGCTCGGAGCCCCGCCCACACGCCCCATCAGTTAGGAGCCCCGCCCAGAGGCCTGCCGCCACGCCCCATCAGCTCGGAGCCCCGCCCACACGCCCGCCGCCACGCCCCATCCGCTCGGAGCCCCGCCCACACGCCCGCCGCCACGCCCCATCCGCTCGGAGCCCCGCCCACACGCCCCATCAACTCGGAGCCCCGCCCTGCGCGCGGCGGGCGTCGCGCTCCTCTTACCGGACCCTGCCGGAGCCCGCCGAGAACCGGCTCTTCCCGCCCAGCCCCGCGTCCGCGTGTCCCGCAGCAGGCGCAGCGAAACGTGCGCGCTGGCGGACAAGGCGGGCTCGACAGGACGCGGCCGTGCCGGGCAGTCCCGTGTGGACTTGGCGCCGAGTGACCCCGGGATGCGGGACCGCGTGGGTGCGGCGCACCCGGGGAGGCTCCGGGGATCCCGAGCAGGACGGGCTCGCGGGACCCCCGGCCGCTGCGGGGAGCGCTGGAGAGGCGTCCGGAGCGGCCCGCGGGGTCCCCGTGCAGAGCCCGGGTGGGTCCGCGCGGGTGTGGGACGTGCGCGCGCCGGGTCGGTGCCGAAGGCGGAGCTGCCGGGGTTCGCTGAGGACTTGGGGGAATGAGGCGGCGAAGCCAGAGCTGGAGAAGCGACGCCGGAGAGATGGGGAAGACGGGGGAGGCCAGAGGCGGGCTGGCATGGCTGGGGAGGCTCCTTCACGTCCCATCGTGGGTGCCCGTGTTTATTATGACAACTGCCAGCAGCCCCCGAGAGCAGCCGCGGATGGAGGTCGGGGGCTCCAAGCTGACCACAGGCGGGCGGTCCTCCTGCCCAGGAGCCGCAGCGTGCGTGTCCGCGGGTGCCCCTTTAGTCCCCCCGGGGGAATGGGAGGTGCCCGAGATGGAGTGGGCAGAGGCTGCGCTGGATGAAGATGAAAATGTGGGGATCGCATGTGGGGGGTGGCTGGGGACCAGTGCCTGAACCCTGGGACTCCAACCTGAAGAGGTTTGGAATCTGCAGAGGAGTCCAGGAAGGACCACAGGGGTGCCAGGGGTGCCAGGGGTGGGGGCTGGAGGAAGAGCCAGGAGAGGGGCTTCTGGGGGCCCGGGAGAGCATGCACACACATCATGGGGGAGAGAGCCTGGGTGCAGCAGGGTGGGTCAGCTCACCGTGGGACGGCAGCGCTGGGGCCAGGGGCTGGAGTTTGAAGTGAGCAGAGTGTGTGCAGGGGCTGTGAACACCAACTTCTCTTTCAAGTCGATTTAATGCAAAGGGGAAGAGAAAGGTGGAGGTAACAGAAGGAGGAGAGCAAGAAAGGGGTGTTGTTTTCTTTTCTTTTTTTTTTTTTTTTTTTGTGATGGAGTTTTGCTCTTGTTACCCAGGCTGGAGTGCAATGGCGCGATCTCGGCTCACCGCAACCTCCGCCTCCTGGGTTCAGGCAATTCTCCTGCC